TGTGGTCCGCGTAATAATTGATAAAAAAGTGAAGTGTGTAAGAATGTCATTTTTAAGATACTTCTATAAAAGAGAAACCTCTCAATTTGTCTGTACTTTTTTTTTAAGTATATTAGGGACTATCGTTACTAATTGTTGACTAATTTTAATAATTCCTTTTGCAATCAAAACAATTTCCTCCCGCGTTGGTCCCATATTAGTTTTATCACTATAGAAATTACTGAGATATAACGTAGTTGTTGACTATTGACATAAATATGTGTAGCTGATCTATATGACACAAAAACACATGTTGTATCTTACTCTAGTTAATTAGAAAGTAGCAGACGTAACAGATATTTTTTCCACGCAGACTCTAGGTATATTATTGATTTATATTATATCTCTAACATTGTACGTACCATTATAAGTTCTCCATGACATAGAAAATAACAACTTAGCTGTTTACATTAATATTTAATTTAATATGTTAAACTGGGCCACATGTGTCTAACACAAGGTCGACTACTTAACTCTTAAAACCAGATACTGATAAGTGTTAGGTGCTCACGCCAATATACTCTAATACTAAATAAATAAACTGGGAGAGAAGGGATTGGGACTAGCGGCTTCAATGGTACCTTTATGTTGTGTCAGATAGACCAACGTGTCTCTCTTCATGATGGCTTATGGGTACAAATTAATGAGACACATTTACTGGTCTACTATTAAGCCTTATAGATCCCGGCATAGAATAGGACACCTCTTCCTTTTCCGTGGGTGTCGTAAGAGGCGCTTAAGGGTTATAGGCAGCAGCGTCTCTTATAAAATATCACCAAAAGTGAAACTTTGGTTGCCAACCCACCTACCAAGTGTGGTAACTACTGGTAACGGCGCGCCGTCCCCTTTTGGGAGAGGCTATGCTCAACAGTGGACAGTTAAAGGTTGACACAACAATAATCTACTAGTTTATACGATATAATTATAATTAATTAATAATATTAAATTAGGTATACATCATTATGTAAATTATCATACCTTGCCTTTATCCCAATATGGTGTCGCCGCAGTATGTTTTCTTGTTTTATAAAGCAGGGCTCTTTAGTGCTATACATATAAATATACCCTTTTAAGTTAACTTCATTATTTACATCTAAAAAATGTTTAAAATTTGTGTATAAAATCAATTCATAAATTATTGGTTTTTTTTTTTTTTATAAAAATAATGTTGCTACGATTGATGTCGATTTTTTTTTATAAAACACAATTTTAAATTATCAACTTCTATTTATGGACTAATTTCAAACTATTTTAAAGCTAAAATCAGTTTAAATCCATATTTGTAAATATGGTCTTCGCCTGAAGAGACAGATAAAATATTGTAAGTATCCGCCTATACTTTGGGTGTATATGTAAATTGCTGATACAATTTAAAAGATCATTAGTCCGATTCCAACTATAAATATCCAGGTTATTTATGACCTTAGAAAATATCTTTTATCCTTATTCACATGGGGAAAACCCACGAGTATCATGAGATAATGTATAGTCGCGCAGTAAGGGACGTTATACGATTATGAACAGTTGGCTCACTAAAAAATCATATATTACATTAATGTTAACTAATTATTAATGTTAATGAATTAACTACTTATTTCAACTGATGAAAATAAAAAAATATTTGTTTTTTATTTTTATATAAATACAAAATAATTGTTTATCATTGAATTTCATCTTATGAAATCGTATTTGGTAAGGTAAACACACTTATGTCCGTCACTGCTATACGAATAAAAATTACATGGATAGAGGTTTGAATACGTATACATAACCAATTTTTTGTTTTCTACTCAATGACATATTGCTCACTCCAAATCTGTTACAACTTGGGCTCATTTGTCACGAGCGGTGCCTTTCATTGCGTTCCCATTCTTCAACATCGCCGGCTGAGCTTTCATCTTACGTTGACTGATGACCTGATGGACATGAGAACGATTATCGACCGATCCCTTTGTCAGTCAAAGGTTAAGCCCTTTTACAGTAACAAAACGTCGGCGAAATCAAAGTGTTTTTCAACAGTACCTCCTTTATGTGTCGGTGTGACATTCTCTTTCACATGTCCAGAGTGCAGAGAGAGTAATTATATACTCATCGGAATAAGAATACACTTTATTCAAATAATTTTAATTTTAAGCATTAAATGTACTATCTAATTCCGAAAGTATTTTCCGTTGAATATACTCGTAGTAGGCAAGAAATACGGCTGTTGCTCTTTTCAAACAAAAAACAAATTTATGATTTTAGGGGTGGGGGAAAGGGATTGTTAGCAATGGAGTTTGACAGCCCCATTGCTAGCAATATGCCCTATTAGGTCGACCTCCGCGTGGTTTCACCTAAAAACCATCATGAACAATTCTTGTTAAATTCGTCATGATGGGCTAACTGACCTGCTTCATCCTCACCTATCATCCTTCATTGGTGCTCCGCCGGTGTATACCGATAGCGCGGGTGGGCTTACCACTCTATTATCACCCATTAAAAAAATTCATGATTTTAAATGTAATTTGAAATCATGAAATTGATAAAAAATTTATTTTTTATCAATTTTATAATTTCCTTATTTTACGACGCGCTGGATGAGCCGGTTTTATTACATTTAATAAGATATTCAGATAATTCAGATCCAGATCTTTGTGATAAAGATAGGTACGTGATCTATTAAACCAGGATTGTATAATATACCTCCATCTAAAGATGTTAAAGTTCTCTGTAACTTTTGTATACAGCAAAACAATAAACTGGATAAATTATTTTTTATCCTAAGCGGGTGTTAGATTGGTAAGTAATGTCACAGAGACCAACTAGATACTATAAATTGTTATGAATGCTTATTTTTCTATCTAAAACATTGTATTTCGTCCAATTAAGTGTGCTAATGCATGATAATTTTGCAGTTCTAATGTAGGTCTCTTATTTAGTACAAAGATAAAATACTAAGCAAAGCATTGTTACTATTGTTAGCGAGGTCAATAACCTCGATGTTTCTATTCAACTTACGAGTAATTACTCATGTTCGCGTGATGCACGGCTAGATTAGGTACAGAATTCAAGTAGTATACCACCAAATAATTCGTCGATCGAAATCGTATCTAATGTATCTGACGCGTCTGTAACGACGCGCGATAAATTTTAAAGAATTATTTAATAATGAGTGATAATAGGGGAAGACGAAGTGATGTCCGTTTGCCCATCGTGAAGAGTTTAATAGGAGTCAACCACGATGATTCCCAGGAGGACCGCATAAAGAATGACTTGTCATTGTCATAGATAAATACCACAGATTGCTAACAATATGACCGCTATACACTGCTACTAACAATCTTCTTCGTCTTAAATATGTATTTAACAGAACAGGACCAATTTATATTTTGTGATCTCTGGTATTAAACCAATGAATAATAGAAATTAATTTATACAACAGTAATGAGAAATCTGATATAGTGTAATGTAAGTCAGGTTTCTTAATGTTAAATGGTGTTAACCTTCCCCTTTGAAGTCAGTGTAATTTGTAATACTTTATTATATTAAAAGTAAAGCAATATTAATTCTTGGAAAATGAACGCTTTAACCAGTTGCATTTACATCCGGGTGATTATTTAACACCTGCATCAAGTGGCAAATGCTGTAGATATTTATATATACTTTTATTAGGTGCAATAGTCAAATTCAATTAACATATTTTATTACATAGCGAAGTTTATATTAGTATTATTTATTTATATCACTACGAAGAATTGAAAAAATAGAAGAGAAAAATATAATACGCCGACCCCTAATAATAATTAGAATAAGGGTAGGAAGATAATGATGACGATGATGAAGAAGTAAAAAAAGAACACAATAACACCATACATAGAAGAGTTAAAACGGGTGACAGAAATTATGCCTTCGTGAACTGATAAACACCTGAACTTACGAGGTGCTGACACGTAATTCTATTTGAAATGGATTGCTATCACATGGCGTTTCTATATTAAAAAAAAAAAAACCTGTCGGACACCTGGAAAGCGTCGGTCATCGTGGCGTGAGGTCGAGAGTAAATTGTTTACTTTTGGCTTATATACATTTTAAGATCTACCTGCCCACCTGAATTAGATAAGCATTAAAGTTAGCAGTTAGAGCTATGCTCACACGAATCTTCCTTTTATGATGTTTTTAGGATTTACAATATTGAGTACAATAAAATGTTTATAATAAAAATATAATTGCGTGATCATTTGCATCCCAATTACGTGAGTTTATGCATGGTGCTGATGCATACGTCGCATTTTTGCTTTCGCTTTCTATATCAATTTTATTTTAGTTATATAAATAAAGAAAATTAGAATATCATTGATTAGTTAATAAGAATTATTTTATTATGACTGCGGAATTGCACCAAATGATTCTAATCAAATAATCAATTTTTAATATAGTACTAGAAAAATTTAAAGTGAAAAGTATTCGGTGTTACTTTTAGAATCAGGGTATTCTAAAAATTTCTACCGTGAAGCAGTTGTGTGTGCATGACTGTGTTTCGGTTTGAAGGATGGGATATGGCAGTGAATTTACAGGGTACAGAGGCATAACACCTTAGTCCTTGAGAATGGCAACGCGAAGGATATCATGAACGAAACAGTAAACTCTGTTATGTCCATAGTACTGTTCATGTCTATAGACGACGGTTACCACTTTTCATCAAGTGAGACGTCAGCTTGTTTGAGATTGTAAGTTACATAAAAAAATCTTTGTCTAGGGTTTCAGGTTAAAATGTAGTCGCTTCACACGGTCACACGCCTAACTAGTTTTCCAACTTCTCGTACAAATGCAAAAAATGCAAATTTCTCCGAATAAATTATACATAAATGTATAAGTATTTATTCATTTTTAGGGTTCTGTACTTCAAAACGAAAAACGGACCCTTATAGGATTACTTTGTTGTTTATGTAACTGCCCATCTGTCAAGACCATTTTTTTTTCAGAAACGCGTGGCAATATCAAATTGAAATAAATATAAAATATCTAAGTCTGCAACCTCTTGAAGCTGTAAAAAAATCAAAATTCTAAGTGAACGAAGTCAAAAAGTTGATTCATTTTACCATATATTACATATTTGAGATTTGCAAGGAAGTCAAAATCTATAAGGTACCTCCCATTGATCTAGAATCATGAAATTTGACAAAAAGCAATATCGTATAGCATAAGAGAAAACTCCGAAAACCGTATATATACCTAGGTAGTTACGTCACAAAAAATATCTTTTTGGTAAGTTTTTTTTCACTTATTTTGTACAGAATCTTCGGTGCGCGAGTGCGGTTCGCACTTAGCTGGTTTTTTGTTTAAATATCTAGTATATACCTACGTCAATAGAACAAAGTTGCATAATAAACAGTGCAAGCACTACAACATTTATCAAATAAATGTTCCTTTGTAGACATACTACACAGATCGGTAGTAGTAATCGTAATTGTAAAATCTTTAATGTACATAATTTACATTTGACACATTAAAAGATTTAATATACAATGGCGGACTTATCCCAAAGAGAGACCTCTTACAGTCAACCTTTGAGAAGCTGAAAGAAAACAACAACGTTCAAGGGTAAAAACAGTACAGCAGTATTTTTGTTAAATATATTGTTAAGTCAATTAATAAATGTTTATTATGAATATAATGATTGTAACTTCACACCTATGTTAATTTAGAGCACCAATAACATTTATACTTATCATAAAAACCTATTATTTTCTTAGCTGAATACGGTTTTTCCCCATATCGAGTAGAATGTTAGCAATAGTTAGTAATATATTAGATTTTATTTCAATTTTTTCTTCTCTTCTATTGATTTCCTGAATTATCTTAATCGCCTCATATGATATCCTGCAGCTGAAAGAGAATGGTAATATCGTATTATCGTATTTTTATTTTGTCATCATACAAAATTAATATAGCTAATAAAATAATACCCGAATATTTTATAATTTAAAGTAAATAACAAGCTTATCTAAATTAAACATAAGTCAAAGTTGTAACACGCAAATTTAACGACCGACACAGCGTCTGCGCAGAGCGGAAGCCCCTTTGACCCTTTGTTTGGTTGCAGCGAACCGGCTCGCACCGGATGTCTACTGTGTCTTACTTTAGCTGAGCTTTCATTTAAAACAGATAGTATGAAAAGAAGAGCTCAAGATAAATATTATGTTATTATATTATAGTATAACTACACCTATATGTTAGCGACGGAAGTGCGTCGCCGACAGTTCATAATTGCTGGAACTACAGTTCTTTGTCACGTTTTACTCATACTTCGCCAATTATTTATACATACAATAAGAATTCCAATCATTCAGATATGTTATTCAAATCCAATTAATCTTTATTATGTTTTTGATAGTTTATCATAGACATTCTTACCTGGCTTTTGTTATCTATTTTCACCACACTATATTATATTTCCACCACTTATGATATATATATATATATATATATATATATATATATATATATATATCATAGGTTAGTATGTATTGATTGTAATGCCAAATTTTGCGTAATAAACACATTTAATAAATACTTATCTTTTTTTTTTTTCACCTAAAGAGTTAATAGTGCTTTTGACTGATGTTTTATTTCAGTTAAAACTACTTTTGACGAAGAGCGTCAGTCAACAATACTTTTAACCGCAAATTTGCAGTCAAAAATACTAATGACCATTAATTTTCAGTCAAAACCACTTTTGACCAACCTGTTCAGTCATAAGTACTTTTGACTAATTTTGCTAGTCAATAGTACTTTTGACTGGTTAAGAGTTTTGACTGCACATGTATATGAGATACATTTTCTGTAGAATAAAAATTAAAATCTATCAATTATTTCAAAGTGATCTCAATTAAAGAATTAATTTTTGAAACAGGTTTTAGATGCAATTATAATCTAAAAATATTTCTAGTTAGTTGAATAGAATTAAAAATATTGTTTGCGCCACATACGCAATTAACAATTTTATGTACAAATAGTTTCTGCGCAGGCTTCATAGTCTATAGATGTGATGATGTTCAAATTGTTTGCCGCAATCTGTGCTTTATCGGAGGTATCAATTAAGTAATTTTTTAAGCACTGTCATCTATATAAATGTGCTTAATTATGTCAATACTGGAGTTTGTACTCAAAGAATCTACATCAACTATTTCTACACGCAAATATACATGTCAAAGCCCTCACTTAGTCACAAGGCGAATATCGACCTCGGTTATAGTTAAATGTATGCAAATACCCGTTCGATAGCAACGGTATCTATCGACTATACGACACACTTCATATTTAGTAGCCGTCAACAAATTGTTTAAACTCCTGACTAAAGGTTTCGCTCTTTTAGAGTACTTATGAAAATTAAGGCAAAACAAACTCAGGAAACGACAGTTTCACCTACGACTTGTTTCATTATTTTCTCTGTAAGCCTTAACCAACGACAGTATTTTTGAAAATTTGGCACCATCTCTAAAGAACATGGAGTGAAATTCATAGTAAATATTATAAATGTGAAAGTACGACGATTCATCGTCATAAAATTTGGTATACACAATACTTGGGATGGAGAAGGACATAGGTAAGTTTTTATCCAGCGATCGAAATGATTTGTGAATTATTGTTGAAGATTCAATGCTTCTAATTACCCTAAGATTACAGTCGTAATAATATTTAATTCATTTCATACGTAACAAGAATTTTTTTCGAAAGTTATAATAACTATTTTTAGAGTGAGCTGACCGTTTATATATATATATATATATATATATATATATATATATATATATATATATATATATATATATATATATATATATATAGCATATGACTTACCGATCATTCCCATAGAAATAAAGTCAAATTTGTTTAATAAAAACTGTCTATTGTGTATTTAGAATCACATGCGTCGTAGACGTGCTTCCGTAAACTTTGAATGAGGCCCATCTAAGCACGAGTACTTACTGACTGGGGAGTCAGTCTAAACTTTTAATTTTTACATCTGTTATACTCTTCAGTTAAATATAATACTTACTATCCTCGGTTTAGACTGATGGCAACGTAAAGAGGCATTGATTTTTTTATAATCAAATTTTTCATTATTACTTATTCGTGCCTGGCACCTTATCATTGCATTATTCGTCATTTTAAATATCGTAATAACACATGATATCATTTCTAACAAAGCCCATCAATGTTTAGGTACAAATGAAACTCCAGAGTACCAATGTCCAGAGGTCACTCATCGGACAAAGATTAGAGATCATTATTGTAAACGGTGGGTAATTTCTTATTATTTTAATTAAAGAATCTATTATTTTTTGCCCTTTAGTCCCGACATGGAATGAGCTACCCTTTCTTTTACCGTGGATGTCATAAAAAGTGACTAAGTGGCAATAATAATCTTAATACTTACCAAGGCCTAACTTCAGTTGCCAATCCACTTGCCAAGCGTAGCAACTAATGCCAAACCCCCCAAGGGAGAGGCCTACATTCAGATTGATCGATACATTGATTTGGTATGGCATATTATTTTTTAATTACCTACCTTCCTGTTAAAATAGTATGTAAATCAGTGTCTATGATGCTGTAGAAAATATAAACCAGGCTGAACCCTAACAAACATTTTGTGTCTATCAACAAACAATTTATACCTGTTATATGAAGTTAGGTACAATATTTAAATTCTACTCGTATAATAATATAATTTTGTAAGTTTTAAATGATTTTGTAAATTTATGACTGCAAGATGCTTTAATATTTAATATAATAATTATTTATATTTTGTTTATAAATTCAACCTCGACCTCCCAGCATCTCAGAAAATATTTATATCGAGAACAGTCTTTTTTATCTATGAGTATATTTAATAATTATGTTGACGTTTAAATTTAGGTAATGACTGACGTCAAGCCTATGATAATAATACGATTTTAATTGTATTTCTAATAATTGTAATTAATTAAATGATAAACCCCGCGCTAGTTTTTTTCTTCTTCGTAAAATAACAATGTATTATGCTCTGGAAAATATGCATAACTTATACTATATACTTACTATGGAAATCACTGTTTAGTTTTCTGATAATAAAATGAAAGATCGTGTTTTAACGTCCCTAACGTCCTTTTAAACTGTCGTATTACCGTGAGGATGCGTTTAGCGTGCTCTGGTGATAATTACTCGCCCACGGAGCTGGTCAATTAGTCCAGGCTGGCTGCCATTGACTGCAATCGATGCTCACAGGTCATTCATGAACATAGCAGCCGCAGGAGTCATTCATAGAATTATGCATGACGGAGTTTTTAACACTTCCCGGCCACCACTAGGCGAAAACCAAATGTTCAATTTCTGTTTCTTTCTCTCATAATGCTGCAAGTATGCAACCTATAGATAGTAGATGATTTGTACTGTACAGATAAATTTCCAAGTATTTAAATAATCGTAATTTCAGATACTTATATATCTATAATATATAATATTATAGATCTATGAGTACAGACAACAATGACAATTTTTGGTAACAATTCTCGGAACAGATAGTTGTATTATAGATAAATATTTATTGTACTAGGTATATAGTACTTTTTAGTAGTAGTTAGTAGTGGTGCTTTTTTATGCCTATATTATCTATTTTACTATTATTTTTAATTTATGTATTAATTGATAGTCATGGAACTATACCTATACATTATACATATAAGTAAATAATGTTTATAAAGTAACGTACTTACACTGTTTGCATGGTATGTACATACGAGGTTTGTCCGGAAAGTACGTATAAAAGTTTTTTAAAAATTTTATTTTACAATTATTCAGGTAAATCAATTTTATCCCCTTCAAAGTACTCCCCCTGTGACATAATGCACTTGTGCCAACGCCGTTTCCACTGTGAGAAGGCTCCTTGAAAGTCCTCTGGTTGTAGGTTTCTCAGCTGCCCCGTCGTAGCTTTTTTTATCTCATTTATGTCCCCCAAATGCCACCCCTGAAGTACCAATTTGGTTTTTGGGAACAAGAAGAAGTCACACGGGGCCAAATCCGGCGAATAGGGGGGGTGTTCGGTCACCGTAATGGAATTTTTACTCAAAAACTCACGGACAACAAGAGAGGTGTGGGCAGGGGCATTGTCGTGGTGAAGAATCCAACGCCCCTCTCGCGCCAATTCTGGACGAACTCGTGCCACACGAGCTTTGAGGCGTCTGAGCACATCGACGTAGAATTTTCCATCAACTGTCTGGCCTGGAGGGACGAATTCTTGATGGACAATCCCCCGAACATCGAAAAAAACAATCAACATCTCGGCCCTCTCTGAATCTTTTTAGCCACTTGTGGACGGTTGGTTCCTTCACAGCATCATCCCCATAAACTGTTCTGAGATCGGCAAAAATTTCACGGCCATTCTTGCCGAGTTTCGAGAGAAACTTGATTACGACGCGCTGCTCTTCAACGGAAGCGGGCTCCATGCCGACGGGGTTTCGTTAAGAGGTAACTTCACAGATGGCGTGACAAGCCAGTTCGCACCGCACGGCGGTCAGACCAGAACTGAAGCATTGTTAGGGACATAAGGAAGGGGTCCTGCGCTTACCTGGCCTCCCCACTCCTCTTTCTCGCATTCCAGAACACTTTTATACGAACTTTCCGGACAGACCTCGTATAACAAACCTATGTATAAGATTTCTTTAAGTATTAAAATCTTTAAATATTTTTCATTCAGTAATTGATACCATCGATAAAACTAGATCCAATAAAATGACCACTTTGGTGTATTTAACATTTATAAGCTTTGTCTTATTATGCAGATGAAATTGTGCATTTGAGAATGTTCAGTGTTCATATAAGTCATCTCCAGGATCGATAGATCCAGAGGATCAAGTATGATATGATTATTACTATATGATACCTATAATAAGACTATTTATACCTATTTTTGAAAGCTACTCTGATTGCTTTCTCTGTCTACATTTACGTATTGGCTAACAAGGCATCGTCTGGCAAGGATAATTCCGTTTAAAAGTATGAAAAATCTTCCGCAAAATCAATAGCAACGTGGTACAAAACTTTCAACCATAAATCAGTACTTATATTAAGTGAGATGATACCAAATAATTAAATTGTGTTCCCCCAAAAAAAAAAAAACGAGTTCAATTATGGCAAAACTTGTTATTTTGATTTAATGTTAAAACTAAACTTCTGAACTGATTTTAATAAAATTTCTATGGGACCAATTTGTAAGTATATTCTGTTATATAAAAAAAGATTTTCCAAATCGGTTTACGACTGATAAAGTAATGAGGTAACAAACTTATAAGATACAACCCAATTGAGAATCTTCATCTTTGAAGTCGATTGAAAATATCATTCCCATTACTTCATCGACAAGTGAAATATTCGAAGTGTAACAATTCTCTTGAAAATACGTCGCCCGTGACGATGGATTCGTCACA